AAGCAAAAAGGCCTCTAACACTAGCTTGTTCTATTCTTTTTCTATTCTATCTGTTTTTATTTTTATTTATTATATATAAAAAAAAAAAACCTTGCTATGTGTACTGCGCTAAGCTAACTGAGACTTGTTATAGCACTTGCATATCATAGCGATTTTGATTGCTTCCATTGTTCTCATTTCTAAGTCGCTTTGGATAAAAGCATCTGCTAAATGACTAAATGTAAATGTTTACTGCACATATAACGTATTTCACATTCATTCATTTATTCCTCCACTCTCACCTTTGATATCCACTTTCCCTGCGATCTCCATCGCCGTCGTGAGGTCCCACATCTGGATGCTGCCGTTGCTGTGTCCACTGAAGAGGTACCGGCGGGGCCTGGACCCAATGCGGCTGGATCCCTCACACTCATGCACCACAAACGCCGTGATGGATGTCCCGTCCACCGAACGCACCTCACACACCCTTCAGATGAGACACAGACCAAGTTTAGCACTCTCTCAGAGCGCAGCACCTATATTTGTGTTGATCGGTATGTTGTTTTCTATCAGTTCACACCAGTTCATTTAACTAGTCAGGTGCGCTACTGTTAAAGTATGCTGGTTTGTCTTGTTTGTATTTGAAACGGACCTCTTTCCATTGGAGGAGAGCCTTACGTAGAGTTTATCAGTGTCGGGAACCACACGCTGGATAAACACCTGCTGCTCGTCACGCTCCCCATACGGACCTGCGCACACAACCATTAGTCAACACATTATGGCCCATGAACCATGAAAATCAGTACAACATACTATTCCTATTTCACTTTACTTAGTTTTTTCAAGGCAATCGGTTTGCATGCTTTTTTTAAGTAAGCCCAACTAATTAGATTTTACAGTGTATACAATGTATTGTTGGCTATTGCTACAAATATACCCCAGCGACTTAAGACTGCTTTTGTGCTCCAGGGTTACATATGTGATTTCATTCTACTCACTACATCTCACCTATTTCAGTGCCAGCAGCACAGCCTCCATGGCCATCAATATCGTCCAATGAGAGGATCTTAAATGAAGTGAGGGGGGTGGAGCCAGGCTGAGTGGAGATCATGCCTCGGAAACGCGTCACAGTCCAGGTGCGGACGTGATTGTTGTCTGCACACACTATAGCAAGGAAGATTTCTGATTGATTACTTTTTTCATTTACATGTGGAAATAAAGCATTTTGAGAAAAAAAAAGAAGCTGAAGAACAAATTTTATAGTTTTTGCAGTTTTAGGAAATTCTGGAGTTACTGTTTTTATCCAATTTAGCATTAATGATTTATGCTGAATTTAAATACAAAAGAGAGAAAAAAGCAAAATATTACCTATTAAAATTACACTAGTGATCTCATCCTTTTGATCCTTATTAAATGTAATAAAAACTGAATGTAAAATGTTTTTGGTTATAATTCACTATTAATAAATTGTACGGATTTCCCTTTTTTTTTTTTTTAAAAAAGCTAAATATTATTACTAGTGATTTCAGACTTTTGATCTCCACTATATTCCTCACATAAATGAGCATGAGTGTGCATGATTTGTTTTTTTTTGCAAATGTAAAAAATACTGAAGTTCTTGTTTTCCAATTCAATATCAATAAATTATACTGATTCTTTTATGAGTTTGTATAAAAATGTTTTTTGCAGTTTTAAAAAATACTGATGTTCTTGTTTTTCAATTCAATGTGAATAAATTATACTGATTTATTTTTTTAATTTACAAGCGATTTCATACTTTTGATCCCTTTTATATTCTGTACATAAAGGAGCATGACAGTTTATAAATAAGAAATATTTCTAGGTCACTGATTAAACGTAATAAAACAAATAAATGTTTTTGCAATTTTGTGAAATTCTGAAGTCTCTTGTTATTCAATTTATAATTAATATATTTTACAGTTTTCTTTTTTTTTGCAAAATATTTTTACTATTGATCTCAGAATTGTGTTCCCCACGATACTCTGCACGTAAATGAGAAATGTGTATAAGAAAAAAAAAAAACTCTTTACCAGAGATGAGATGTTTCTCAGACAGCATGATCTTGGTAACAGGACTGCGGTGAACGGAGAAGGTCTGGAAGAGCTGTGGACCGGATCCCACCGTCTCTGGATGCTGCACTATGACACGCACCGTGCCTGAACTAGTACCATACGCGATCTCGATCCAGTTCCCACTGTCACCTGAACAAACACAAGAGCACACGCATACAAGGTTTAATAGAAAGACATTAAAGTGCATTTTAAATGCTTGTCAGTACATTCTGCAGTAGTCGTGTAATTTAAAAACATTACATTCAGTTCACACATTCATTTATTCTTTCAAAGTATATTATTTCAGTAATAAGTTCTCTTTTTTAAAGTATGCTAAAGTGTGTCTTATTCTCAATGGGTGTTTCGTAATTGTGTGATCAACTGGAGTGCTAATAGTTTAGTACTAGTTGAACATGGTTTAGTGCTATGTGCTATGACACTGTGAGATGACAGGCTGGCGTTACTTGTTTTGGGCGTCAGGTAGACACTTAGAGCAGTAATAGCATCTTCACTGGGATCTCGATACAGCTCAGTCACCAACAGATCGTTATCCTTCATCCGCAACGGAAACTTCTGGACATCTGAAAGACACAGAAATGCACAGTGTGTCGTGATCAGCTTGATCAACCCTCTGAAGGATCATGAATGCACAGGATTTTTTTTGAATGTATCCAAAAAAAATTTTTATGACAGCTCAAGCAATTAGAAATAACATTAACAGCAAATCATATTATTATTTTAGCTGGAAATTCAACAATACATTTTAAAACTGCATGGCAACACCATTATCCATGAATTAAATACTTTAAAACTAAAGCTACTTTTTTATTTGCAACTTTATAGACCAAAATCAAAACCTGAAAACATAATATATTAGACTGATTATCACTTTACCTATATAGTAAATAGATCCATTATTGCATCCCAAAATGAGGAATGATCCGGCTGTGTCATAACTGTTGATAGGAACCACATCCTGGTTCTGCATAAAGAGAGGTGAAGAAATCAGGAAGTGAACACTTCTACTTGTTTCGATATTAAGAAATCGATTTCATTTGAATTGTGACACCGGAACAAATGCAGAAATTACCGTATTGGCCCGAATATAAGACGACCCTGTTTCATGGCACACTCGTTTTATGCGTATTTGGCGCCACCTAGTGTTGTGGGTGTATTATTGACATGTCAAAGTCTAGACCCTGAATATAAGACGACCTCGTTTTTTCAGATGTATTTCCAAGAAAAAAACATCGTCTTATATTCGGGACAATACGGTAATCACCAATGGCCATGCATCTGTCAGCTCTCGTTACCTGCCAGTGTTTAGTGACTGCGTTCCACACTCCCACTTTACCCGTGTGGCTGGTGGCGATGAGCTGATTTCCAACGAAGAACAAAGCCTCCACCGGCACATTCAAACTGAACACACCTGCGGTTCAGAACAAACAAGAACTCCAGTTTCCAAACATTTGTGAAAGATCCAAAAGCATTATATGAAACGAGAGCTTACCAATTTCATTGCCATTTCCATCGGGACAGATTGCCCACAGTATGATTTCTGTGCCCGATGCAACAGCAACCATCTTATCGTTGTCCCCTAGAGAACCGCCCATGACTTTGGCATTAAGAGCCACCCTGTCAATCACCCAGTCCAGCCGAGGGCTGGTGAACACCTGCTGCCATCCACTCGACTCTTTAACCCTGAGCACAAGAAACAGAAAAAAAAGTCACACATGTAAATCCCAATCATTACTATATGTGTCATTCAAAGAGGAACCCTACCTGTAACAGACCACAAACTGGGCATAAGCTACAGCAATCCAGTTATGATGACCGCATATGATTCTGACCATGCCTGGATCAGCGATCGGACCTAAACAACACAGATCACAGGATTCAAGAAAGTTACTATTTTAAACTGAAAACTAAAAAAAACTAAGGATGCACCCAAGAGAACTAGAGTGAAACCACGTAAAATAACACAGAAAAAGAATAAACCAGACAAGAAATGAGTAGAATTGATTAAAATAGAACAGAACAACAGGAATAGAAACAAGTAGAACTGAGTAAAATAGAAGAAAATAGAATGGAATTAACCACAGTACAATAGAAAAATCAGAGTAGAAATGAGTAGAGTAGAACAGAGTGAAATAGAACTAATCATGGCAAAAATGATCTGAGTAAAACAGAACAGAATAGAACAAACTAGAGCTGAAATGAACTGAATAAAACTGAATTGAACTGAGTAGAGCAGAACTGAAACAGAACAGAATAAACCAGAGAGGAAATTAGTAACCGAGTACCACTGAGTGAAATAAAATAGAATAAAAACAAATCAGAGTAGAAATTAGTTGAGTACAATAGAGCAAATTAGAGTAGCTATGATTAGAGTTAAACAGAATAAAATAATTTAGAGTTGAAGTGAGTAAAATAAAATAGAATAACATAAAACAGTAGGATAAAACAGAATAAAATAAACCAGAGTTGAGAAGGGAAGAACTGAGTATAATGCAATCAGAGTACAACAAAACAGAGTAGAACAAAATTTAATAGAATGGAACAAATCAGACGAGGAGAACAACTTAGTAGAGTAAAACAGAATAACATAGAATACACCACAGTAGAAACTATCAGACTAAAATGGAGCAGAATAGAATAAACCATACTGAAACTGGGTAAAATAGAATCGAATAAAATCAGTTTAGAAATTAATAGGAACGGCATAAAATAGAACAGAAGCAAGCAGATAAGAACTGAGTAATAGTATTCAAAAGAATAGAATAAATCAGTAGAAATAAGCTGAACCAAGTACAATAGAATAGAGCAGAACTGAGTAGAATAAAAAACAAAACAAAACAATAAATCAGAGTAAATAAGAGTGCAAATATAACAGAAAAAAAAACAAAATAGAATAGAACATACCAAAGTAAATTTTCATAATAGAAAAGAATAAAATTGCCAAAAGAAAATCTGAGTAGAATATAATAGAACAGAATTAAGTAAAGTAGAATGCAATGAAGTAGAATAGCAAAGACAATCTGAGTGGAACAGAATTGAATAGGGAAAAGTAAATTAAGAGTAGAATAGAATACTAAATGAACTATAGACAAAGGCAGACCTGTCACCCTCTCCTCTATGGCAGCTTTGCCCAGGTTAGGCGGCATTGTGTTACTCCTCCTCACAGGGGCCCTTTCCACTGGCCCCGCACGGCCCCCCATGAACTGGGGCCCCGCCACACTGTGCCTGTTTCTGCGCTTCACCGGATACACTGTGACACACACAATTAGGGCCGTCACTAACGATTATTTTGGTAATCGAGTAATCTGCCAATTATTCTGATGATTAATTGAGTAATCGGATAATTATAATTACTTTTTTTGTAGCAATAAAAATAGACCTAAGTGAACAATAGCCTTTAAAATGACTTAAAATACATATATAATAGCAATGAGGCAATGATAATTAGTTCAAATAAAGTATCAAAAGCAAGTAATCATAAGGTTTTATTCAACAAAACTATTAAAATACATAATGTATTATAAACAATAGAGCTAACGTACTTCACGCATTATAACAAATGCCAGCAGAGGGCGCCAACGGTCTGACGCTGCGCGATCTAATCCTTGTTTAATTCAAATGTCCACTTAATCTTTAATATTTGGCCATTTCTATCAATTTCTGTAATTTCTTCAATATGTGGACATCAAAACATGTAAACTCAGAGCGAGGGTCCAAGCTTTTATTTTGAAATCGTGATGAACAGTTATATTTAGAAAGATATCGATGCATTCTCCTGGATTTGCGTAGGTTTATAAATGATTAACCTTACAAATCTGATGAAACAGCGCACGTTGCGTTCCCAGATGAACGTTATCATAAACCCCAACTCACAACAACATGCAGAGATGGAGTTTGAGACATATAAATGATAACTAGAGATGGGCAGATGAAGCCTTGTGAAGCTTTTGAGGCTTTTTTTTCTGATTGTACCAAAAAAAGATTCAAAGTCACCTCGCTTCAGGTGTTTCATTGTGACGTATCAAGCCTCAAATGTCATTGGTCACGTGATCACGGAGATTTGATACAAGCCTCGACACAGTCTTTCGAACCAGTCTGCTTCAATAGAGTAAAACAGGCTTCGCAGCCTCAGTGTCAGACGTCCCATCTCTAATGATAACAGTTTGCACGGAGCAGCATTTACTGTGAACGGAGCCGCTCTGACACACACGTACTGTACGCAAGCACAAATATTAAACATGCATCTCATGTATTTATTTAAATCGTAGCATTTGTGAAGTCTTAATAGACTTATGCTTTATTATGATTTTGAAAGGGGTTTAATACGTGGAACGCTTCTGGTATTTTGCCCATTTCTCGACACGGGCAAAATGCAATCGAGGATTTTTAAAAATCGTATACTCGAACAGAATCGAGGAATGGTTGCAGGCTGCAGCCACACACAAAATGAGTCTCTCTGAAACATGCTGTCTGTCTAAAATAGTGCTGAACTTTGTCTCTGTGCTCAGGGTTTGTTGTGTACCTGGCGGAGGCAAGTAGCCATTGAACAACACGTTCCCGCAGGAGGAGCGATCCAACTCATCACACAACTGCAGCTTTCGCACTGCGGAGGTAAAGACATGATTAGATGAGGCACTGCAGTGGAAACCACCATTTATTCAGCATGCAATTTAATATGTGGCTCAAAAGCATCAGGATAATCCCAGCACAGCCTGATCTCACCCAGCGGCGTGATCCCATAGAACTCTGCCTCGTGCATTAATAAGTGCACATCTATGGACCTGTCAGAAAAACAGAGTCATGCCATTTAAAACCTAAACAAGACACTTCATTTCACAGTGTTACATTATCTCTTTCACAAAAACATAGACTTACCTGGGGTGAAGCTCTTTAGTGCGCAGGAAGTTGAGAATAGGAGCAAACAGAGACGGATCTCTGTCAATGAAGATCTAAAATAAACAAATAGTGGGCTACATTAAAACACACTCACATAATAACATATTTGTAAAGATCGTGTATTAGTATTAGCATGTATAATAGAATAAACTTTACCGCTCCAGTCTCATCTTTAAGTGTTGATATCCGTCCACTTAATAAACTAGAAGTATAAAAAAACACGTATTTATTATGTAGTATGTACACACATCATGTAAAAAAATTAAAAATAAGACCTATGCCAAAAAACAAACACGCAACCCATATATCAGTTCTTATTATTAAACCTTATTTAAGTTATAAGCGCTTAAATTGTTAATATACATAACATACGCAGGGGGTTTTGTTCTAGTTTAGCTTTATTTGATCGAAAACGCACAAACCTTGAGAAAAACGAGTCAGGAACCCATGTCAGAGTCTGTCTGGAGGTACTGAACCTGCATTTATACATTCAAACATAAAAGAAAAACACTTTTAGCCAAAAAGAAGGGAAAAAATCCATTGTTGTTCTTTATTACTGTCTGCTGCTATTTACAGTAAGTTAAGGCGGATAAATAAGAAGCAATACTTAAACACCACTGCAAACTAGTTGTTATGAAGACTAACGTTACATTACGTAAAGTAACATTTTTAAATTAACAAATGGTAATGTTAATAAAGTATGTGGCTTGTTTCGAGCAGGATGTGCAGTTGGTTTAATACAAAACCTTTTGCCCCCGACGTTAAGATGAATGATGTCGCCGATCCTAGCCATGATTTTCGCTTTTAAGGCAACACGTTCAGAGTTTATCGTCTTTTTAAGTAGGTATTAATATTAACTTCATAATAAAAAGCCGTTTAATTTACTAGCCGTAGTAAGGAAACAGCGGAGGAGCGGATGTTGTCACAGAATATCTCGTGCGGAAGTGGAGACGCGCCGACTTTCAAAATAAAAGTCCGTAAACTAACCTCATAAAAGCCTAAATATGAAGAAGCCTCACGCTCTCGTCCTCCTCAGCTTAAGTAGGTTACTAGGGGAAAACCAGTGTTTTTATGCATTTCCTTGAGGGGGAAAGGATCAATGCCTAGTTCATGATTTTAGAAAGAGATTATTCGTACAGAGAGTTTATCGTCTTTTTAAGTAGGTATTAATATTAACTTCATAATAAAAAGCCGTTTAATTTACTAGCCGTAGTAAGGAAACAGCGGAGGAGCGGATGTTGTCACAGAATATCTCGTGCGGAAGTGGAGACGCGCCGACTTTCAAAATAAAAGTCCGTAAACTAACCTCATAAAAGCCTAAATATGAAGAAGCCTCACGCTCTCGTCCTCCTCAGCTTAAGTAGGTTACTAGGGGAAAACCATTTCCTTTATGCATTTCCTTGAGGGGGAAAGGATCAATGCCTAGTTCATGATTTTAGAAAGAGAAACATCGTCAAATTAGCAGTTGATTATTTGCATGCTTCGAAGTCAGAGCATCAATGCACAACAAAAGATGTACAATAACATTCCAATCAGAAACGTAATCCAAAATCATTTTTTTAATTTTAGTAGTGCCTATTTTTGTCATGCAACATTAGTAATGCGCCCTAGAGGAATGTTCACGTAAGCATGCATATTTCTCACCTTTAATTAGAAAAGGTACAACAAAATTCAGCAGCAAACATTATCACTCAGATATCAGTACTAACTAACAAAGACTAAACATGATCAGCCTTAGGAAGGACCTCACATGAGTTGGTTTGCAGCTGGTGCCTCAGCAATGGCCCTCGCCTTCAAAGGTGACTTTTGCAAGCTTGATCTGTCAAAAAAAACTAAAACTGTTTTTGTGTTTCAACAAGTTTCAACTTTTGCTGTTTGCATGACGTCATGGAAGTAATATTCTTCATCAAAAAGGTTCACTGACACTAACTCTGTGTATGTTATAAACGAACTTTCCCCCCCGAATGTTTTCATTGCTAAAGTTATTGGTGAAGAAGTTAATGCAAGTGTTTTAAATACAATGTATTCGTATCAGAAGGCCTCTGAGGTTTATTGCATTTTGTTTGCTCAGTGTTTCAAACTTCACAATCGTGCAAATGGTGCAATTTTTCATTATTTTCTTCCTGGAGTTAATTTTAAAGGCAGGTTTTATGTTCATAAATGCATTTCTTATATAAAAACACATGCTATCCATTTATCCAAAATACAAACACATGCAAAACTTGATGAAATAGAATGTATTTAAACGTGTAGGCCCATTATAAAATCAATATTAATAAAAAAAATCACAGCAGGAACATTTTGTCACTATATTTTAACTCTGTAAAGCATGTACAGTAATAGTCACAAAAAAAAAAAAAAAAACTTGAAATTGAATAGTTTATTAAACCTTTAGACAATTTAAAAATAATAATTATTATAATAAAAAAAAACACTGCCCAAACGAAGCAAAAATATGCAATTTGGTACAGATGCTGATATTTATTTGGACAAAAAGAGATTAAATTCTGATGCTTGTAATGTAAATCAATGAGATCTTTATAACGGTACAGACTTTGCTTATGTACAATGATATAAATATCAGTCGTCACTCTCAAAACATGATGCAATGCAATACAGTGATGATCGAGAGATGAACAAATAAACGTTCCTTGAAAGCCTGATGATCAGATTTGAGACTCACATTTGAACATGATTTAAAAAAAAATAATAATAATAATAATAAAACAGTCTGGATAATCAAGTAAACCTATCTGCTTCAGTCCAGTAAGTGTTCATCTTAAAATATAAAAGTTATTATGCTCACTTCATAAAAATCAGTAAAGATTTGACAGCAAAAAGACATATAAAGCACTCGATAAAGGTGGATGTTTGTACAATTAAACTACATTTAACTGCTAAAAAACGATGAATTAGATGACAGCAGGCATGTAGATAGATTGTGTCCATCACTTAAAATGTGACATGTACTTCTGCTCTGAATAAATCAGTGTTCACCCCTTGTTTTTTTGCACATATAAAGGCATGTATTGCTGGAATCTCTGTCATGTACAGTACTTACAGTGCTGTCAGCAGTGTCGGGAATAACACACTGCAAGTAACGTGGGTTACGTAGTCAAATAAGTCGTATTTACAACTGGGAAACTCTTGAGATAATTCTGATACCCGACTAAACTTTAAATATGGCGGAGGAGAGAAAACATAGCAGTATACTGTGAAGTTGTATTGGTTTTTCTCACAACATCTTCATTGCTTTCTCCTGCTATTACAGTCATGTATATTTACGTATATAAATAACCATTTAATGCATATTGTATGTACTGAACACAGCAAAAATAGCATTTATTTGGATTCTATTTGGATGATGGATTCTATTATTGACTTGAAATCATGTTACATGTGAATGGAAATCTATTGACACAAATAGATAAAGTGTTTTATATATATCTCCAAAATCTCCAACTTGACAGGTGCGTGAAAAAACAAGTGTCTCCTCTTTAGACACTAAAGAATCATATGTGAGCCTGGAGCACAAAAGCAGTGTTAAGTCGCTGGGGTATATTTGTAGCAATAGCCAACAATACATTGTATGGGTCAAAATTATAGATTTTTCTTTTATGCCAAAAATCATTAGGATATTAAGTAAAAATCATGTTCCATGAAGATATTTTGTAAATTTCCTACTGTAAATATATCAAAACTTAATTTTTGATTAGTAATATGCATTGCTAAGAACTTCATTTGGACAACTTTAAAGATGATTTTCTCAATATTTAGATTTTTTTGCACCCTCAGATTCCAGATTTCCAAATAGTTGTATCTCGACCAAATATTGTCCTATCATAACAAACCATACATCAATGGAGAGCTTATTTATTCAGCTTCCAGATGATCTATAGATCTCAATTTCAAAAAATTGACCCTTATGACTGGTTTTGTGCTCCAGGGTCACATATCAACTTGTGGAAAATGGGCATCTGATGACCCCTTTAATCATCAGAGGTACGTGTTCTCAATAACCACATCTCTAATCTGATCAACACTGTGCGGCGCTGGAGAGCAGGATTCCTCCTCCTGGACACAAACAGGACTCTCTGTCTTGGGACAGCTGGTTTCTTCCCCCTGAGGGGAGCAGCAGAGCTTCTCCACACACTCCTGCGCACAGCTCAAACTGCAGGCCGTGGCATCGCTCCGGATGAACTCCGGCTGCACGGTGCAGTGTTTGATGCCGAAAGCGTTCAGCGCTGCTGTGATCCTCTCCATCAGATCTGCGCACTGCGCTGCGTTCAGCCCGGCCGGACAGTGTACGTGCAGCGAGGCCACCAGCAGCGCCTCCGACAGCTGCCACACATGCAGCTCGTGCACCGACAGCACACCTGGGACTCCAGTGAGCCTCAGCCGCACCTGAGCCACGGAGAGATGCAGCGGCGTCGCCTGCAGCACCAGCAGCCCGTAGCGCAGCAGCCTCGGCAGCGCCGTGGAGAACAAAACCAGCACACAGACTGCGGAAAAACCTGCGTCCAGATACACCAGGAGGTGACAGTCGGAGTGAGGCCGATGGCAGTGCGCTGCAGACAGCAGGAGAACCAGACCATTAGTCAAAACCAGGACTGAACCCAGAAGGTCCTGGATCACACCGATGGAGCCGAGCTGCTGTTGTCTGAACCCGGATCTTCCAGGAGCACACTGGGAAACTGTCGGGTTAAAAATAAACAAATTATATATATATATATAATGTATATATATATATATAGACTATAAAGAACCTGTAATGGTTCTTCAGCGGTTCTTTGGGGTGGTTAAGGTGCTATATAGCACCGTCTTTAAATATATAGGTGCTATGTAGCACTTAAAGTGGTTCCCCTATGATTACGAGCCAAAGAACCACTTTTAGTGCTATTTAGCACCATTTATTACTATATATATACATATACATACAGTATATATACAGTATATATATATAACGTCAAAAGTTTGAAATAATTATATTTTTATTGCTTTTGATAAAAGTTTCTTCTGCTCATCAATGCTGCATTTTTAAATAAAAAATACAGTTAAAATTAGTAAGACTGTGAAATATTATTACAATTTAAAATAGCTGTTTTCTGTTATAAAATGTAATTGATTGCTGTGATCAAAGTTGAATTTTTTAGCATCATTATCCTTAAGAAATCATTCTAATAAGCTGCTCGAGACACATTTCTGATTATTATCAAAGTTGAAAACAGTTGTGCTGCTTCATGTTTTCATTTTATTCAGCAATGATGCACTAAATTGATCAAAAGTGACAGTATAGACATTTATAATGTTACAAAAGATTTCTATTTCAGATAAATTCTGTTCTTTCTGGGGGGAAAAAAATGCTGGAAAAAAAACGGTATCACGGGTTCCACAAAAAAATATTGTGCAGCAAAAAAGCCTTTGTTAATAAGTTATAAGCCATGAACCAAACCAACTTGCTACAAAGAGGACCACAACATTGCAAACTTTGATTTGAAGCAAACGATATTTGAAAATCGGACAAAAAGACAAGACTGTGTACGTAACAGCTTACATGTGGGAAAGAACTACAATCCCATGAGGCATTGTGAATGACATAACCAAACTGAAAACAATGGAGAAATACAAAACTCTTGATTTAAACACGTTGCTTGTTATTTTGGAATTTAGAGGGGAAAATGTCAGAACTGCAAGATGTAAACTCAGAATTCCAAAAAAGTAAAAATTGCTAGACGTAAACTCAGAATTCTAAGAAAAAAAGTCAAAATTCTGAGAAAATAAACACAAAATTGCTAGATGTAAACTCAGAATTCATGTAAAGTCAGAATTGCAAAATGTAAACAAAAACAAAAAAATTGTGAGAAAGTAAAAATCTTGACAGGTAAACTTGTAACTTGATTTTTAAAGGAAAAAAAAATCAAAATTACAAGAAGTAAACTCAGAATTCCAATAAAAAAAGTCAAAATTCAGAACAACTCTGAATTCAGAGGGGGGGGAAAATGCTAAATTTAAACTGAAAATGCATAGAAAAAAACATATTTAACAATATATAACACATAAGATTATAACATATAATCTCAGAGTTCAGAGAAAAAAAAAAAGTAAGGCTTGCGAGATGCAAACTCAGAATTCCAAAAAAGTAAAAATTGCTAGATGTAAACTCAGAATAAAAAAATTAAAAAATTAAAAAATTAAAAATAAATAAAAAATTCAGTGGAAGAATTGCAAGATGTAAACTGAGAATTGCAATATTTTCCGAGAAAATAAAAAACTCAGAATTCTGTTAGAAACAGTTCTAAACCCGAAATTCTAACGAGGGAGGAAACATATAAACTTTCAATTCTGAGAATTGTGTGATATGAACTTGCAATTGTGAAGAAAAAATTCAGAACTGTAAGAGAAAAAGTTGCAATTTCTTTCGTATTAAAATGTAATAAATTGGGGGGCTCTTCGTTTTTTGCAAATGCGTTTGACCGATTAGATTGATAGTGATTCATTCCCGAATCTGATTCTAAACAAATGATTAAAACACATGACTTGATTATGAAATATTATCAGTGAACATAACTCATCGGTATATGGTAATCTCCACCATCACACAAGGATTTATCAGTTATAAATCCGGTTAAATCACCCTGATTCAATCACACGTACATTGGTATCCTGATGTTCCTCACATTATAGTGATCATTTGAGAATGAAGAATGTTTATTTCTCTGGTGTGAATGTGGAGGGGTTTGCTGTAGAGAAACAGCACAAACACAGAGTCGAGCTGAATACTAAGTGTCAAAGATGAGGCTCGGTTGCCATGACCTCTATCAACAGAATGCTCTTTCTGGAGACACTCCAACCTGAACTACAATAAAAACCCTGGACTGGAGAAAAAACACACTAAAGCAGCAAGTGAAGGTACAACAGCTATAGCTTTAATTATTATGTGCTTCTAGCCTGGAATGGATGGAGAGACAGTAAAGCCTTTACGCTGGATTAAACAGGTATTAACACTTATATTAAAGGGGTCATATGATGCAATTTCATTTTTTCCTTTCTCTTTGGAGTGTTACAAGCTCTTGGTGCATAAAGAAGATCTGTAAAGTTGCAAAGACTAAAGTCCGACTACACTGAAATAACAAATAATGTAGGGTTTTCTCTGAAACGAAATTTCCCTAAGACATTGCTATTCAATTTCACAAATAATTACAAAGTAACTGCATTAGTTTTACTTTTTTTAAGGACCAATTCTCACTATTAACTAGCATGCATATTACTAGCATATTGGCTGTTTATTGTACTTAAAAAGCATTTATGTCATGCATGACCATATTTTAGGTCCCCATACCTAAACTTAACAACTACCTTACTAACTATTAATAAGCATCAATTTAGGAGTTTATTGAGACAAAATATGTAATTAATAGCTAGCTAATAGTGAGAATTTGATCTTAAAATAACTTTTTTTTTTATAGTATTTTCTTGAAAAACATACTCCAATAATCTGTTTTACACACAGCTTTGAAAACATTTATTTTCATGGTGGAAAAAAAAATTGGAACAGTGCTGCAATTGCTAGTAAATTTCCCAGATAATTACAAAGACACTGCAAGAAACACTGAATCAATTGTGGAATTTTAAAGAAGAAAAACCTAAACAATCTATCTATCTATGCTCTACACATCTGAGGTCTCTCTGTTCTCATGTAAGAGCGAGTCACTGAGGATTACATGGAAATTCCTTCAAAGCAGATTTTTAATAATAAGCTCCAACAGTCAAATACCTTGAAAATCCCTTCTATACGGCACCGGACATCCCAAAATACAGCACGACTAAATGGCTTTTACATAATGAAGAAATTATGTCACAGAAGCTCAATGTCATTTTAATGAAACTCTCAAGACATGTAGCAGAAGGGTGTGTTGTTGGTGTATGTCCTGTGCTCAGGGTTTGAACAGAAGCCTGGTAATCTCAAACAGTGATTACCAGTGATATAGTGTTTGCATACATCTGAGGGTGTGTAACATACCAGACCACCTGATGCTCCGCTTGCTTTCATAGAAACCAGGGGCTTCAACCTGTGCAAACCCACCAAACCCACAACAAAGATCCTCAACACTTCTATGCAACCTTCATTAACTAACATTATTGTATTAAAAGTGGTTACCTTTAACCTCAAATAAAATGACATTCATTTTTCTATTATCTTCAGACCCCTCTAAAACCGTAGGCCTAAATTTACTCTTATATTCTTCCCAAAATAACAAATATTCTGAGAGTTAAAGGGAATTTTCTTCATAGTTTTCATCCATTCTCAGATTTTTTTTCTTCTTTTTCTCCCCATTAACAATGTATTTGTTTTTTAAATTTAATCTTTTTATGTTATGTTCACATTTCGGCCATTTAAATGAATGAACACCTGTTTTTGATACCAAAACAATAATTGTGATACAAAATGCAACTTTTAGACAACAAACGTTTTCAGACAAGCTGTAATATAACCCGTGTTGGGGGTAACGCATTACAAGTAACGCGAGTTACGTAATCAGATTACTTTTTTCCAAGTAACTAGTAAAGTAACGGATTACTTTTGAATTTACAAGAGAAGCTTTTATATTTTCCAAAAATATAACTTTTTTATTTTAAAAACAAACAAGCAAGCCCTGTCCAGATTTAAAAAGTAACGCAAAGGGAACGTAACGCATTACTTTCCATAAAAAGTAACTAAGTACCGTAATTAGTTACTTTTTTATGGAGTAACGCAATATTGTAATGCATTACTTTTAAAAGTAACTTTCCCCAACACTGAATATAACCACCTTAGGTAAAGTAAGGAAGTAAGCCATGTCTTGTGAATGTGCGAACCTGTAAATAAACATAACGGTAAATAAAGATTATTACCGTACAGTTTACAAGAAAATGCTATTTCGGTTTATCCACTTCAAAATGTAATGTTTAAGTCAATGTGTTGCCGTTTATTGTAATTGTTTGAGAGATTTAATATCAATTTCTGATTGAAAGTTGTTCCAAAGTAAATCCTAAATAACTATAGACCTTATGCGTGAGAAAAACAAGCGCAGCCATCTTTAGAATTTTGTCTTTGAACTTCCGTTTTTTTGCGGTAGCTCTATATACAGCATTGCCATTAAAGTGCCCCTATTATGCCATTTTTACGGTTCCTAACATTGTTTTGGGAGTCTCCTACAATAGGATTACATGCATGCAAGGTCAAAAAAACGCTTTCGCTTTCTCAAAAAATATGCATTTAATATCACCTCATTTTCCAGCGATTCTCAAACTATTCGTTCGAAGCAGTTTAAAGATTCAGTCTCTCTAAACCCCTCGCTCTATAGAAAATATAAACATCTATTATTTATCATACTTACAGGTTGTGATTCAGTCCAAATAAACAGGATACCGATACATCTTTCAACAGCAAGCGTTTTGTGAATCCCGCATCGAACTCCCCGAGATTACAGAAGCAGTCGTCAGTAGAATGAGGTGTTTGTGGGCGGGGTCAAGTTATTCGCGGCACGCCATCTCTTTGTGTTTACCGGTACAGTTTGATTAATTTAACAGGCCATTTTAAAAATTACTAAAAATAAAGCATTACAAACATTAGGTTGGGGAGCAGCACAGAAGTGTTGATTTCAAGGTCAAAGACAATCTGGATGTAGAGGCAAAGCTTCTCTGAAGCCTGGCAGATAGACGTCAGAGTCGACATCAACCAGACGTTAAAGAGAGAGAGAAACTGAAAAGCACCAACCACAGAGCCAGGAATGGTGGGAAGTACTACACTAATCAGCTCAAGATGTCACAAGCTTCTCTTTGCCCTAGAATCACACGTTTGTCTGACGATGGCGACATCTCTCGAGGTAAAGTGTAGTCTCTAGTGTCTCCAGCGGCAGTAGCTTCACACAAGCGTAGTGTTTTCTTCAAGTCTTGTGCTC